TGTATTCCCGGACAAGCTTGGGTCATAGCGGTTGTCCAGGTACGTGTCGGTGGTCTTGAGTCGTTTGTGCAGCTTGCGCAGAGACTCGACACTGCGTGCACAGGTCAGCACAGGTCGTGCAGCCACAAAAGGCTAGTGCTCACTAAGCTTCTTCGATCTTTCTCCTGCAGAACCAAGGCGCTGCGATCAGGACACGGCGCGGATCAGAGCAAAGACGTGAAGGTGCGCACCGCTCTATGAAATAGGGTATGTAGCAGTCTGTGAGGAATCGCAGGTTTCCGTCAAAGTACAGAAGAGGGGGAGCGCTGGAAACGTTCTCAGTGGACGGTGGGCGAGTGGAGGGCCCCGCCTCTGCGGATGTGGACATGGCGGGCTGCATGCAAGACTCGCTTTGACCACCGAACTCATCGTCCGTGGCAGGACCACGTGTTATTCAAACTCGCGTACGGGCGTCTAATTTAGCGACCCGCCCTTTCCCTTTTAGGCTCCTCGCGCTTTGCGCCTCTTGAGGCTTCTGCGCGCCTCCAGACGACAGCGATGGATCATCTTGCATTCTGCATCAGCACTGCTCTTTTCTTCTGGCTTGAGTGCACGTCTCATTTTCATCTGTGCATGTCGTGTGTTGCTGTCCCCTGGGCTCCCTGTTAATCTCAGCTTGTAGGGTTGCTCACAGACAGCCATTTCGTCATATCAAACGTCGCGTCAATCGTTAACAAACTTTCGAACGGAGGCTGTTCCGAGGTGTGTTCGCGGGACGGGCGCTGTCCGCACTCCTGCAGACACTTCGTCCCCACATTCAAGCTTCTGGCAGATCTCTGCACGATAAATTCCCAGTCCGACACGCCCTTGGTGTCCTCAGCGGCTTCATCTAGGACAACTGCGACATCATATTGTCAAATACGTGAGCTGCTCATCCAATCGTGACCATTCTGATCGGAAACTATCCAACATCATCTCTCAAGAGGCATCAAGCGCTCATCGCCAACGTGCGTGCTTTACTAAATCAGTCCCAAACTTTCAGCATGGCCTCAGAACATTCACTTCGTCGACGCGGATGATACCAGGTCTCGTCCGCTTGGACGAAGCCTTCGCATGCTCTGACGCGGTCGACCTCCAGACAGCTGAACCCGCCGACCTCCATGAGATCTGCGGCTGTGTCGATCGGACATGAGTACCTTCTACTATATCCACCCATATCCACCCAAGCATTTCACACCGGGCGGATGTCGCATTCACTGGCGACACCAGGCAGCTTCTACATGCCAAAGTATGTGGAGATGGTCGTATCACTAGATGGCGCTTATGTCGTCCTGCGGACCGAGATATAGATGTCGGAGGCCACGAACGATGATATAGCGTGCTCCGGGTCACCGGCGCGTTCAGCTCGCTAACACCCAGTCGGTTCGCCCGTGCACGACAGACGCGATGACGGCAGGAATACACCAAATCGAGGAGGATTTGGAGTGTGCAAGGGCACATCCCGTTTATCTCGTGTCTGCAGGCAGCGCTTAGCTGATGCTCGAGAGCAGGTCTACTTGCGGCTCGCTGAGCGGGGCTTCCAACGTGTCATGTGGTTGACCGTCGTCTTCAACGGCGTGCCTACGATTCTCTATGCTGGGCCTCCCTCAGCGGGCTTCCCGGCAGAGATCAGCGTTGCGATGAAGCCCGTAGCGGTTATAACACCATATGTGCATACAATGTAGTGAACTAACGGGTATAGGGCTGTATATAGGCATCCTGTTGAACAACCAGCGCTCGTAAGTTGAATTCACTGAAGAATACGAGAAGTAATAGGTGAGCCGAAGCACTAAATAATATCTACATGTGCGAGATATAACACGTATGCTGAAGCATTGGGTAACATCTGCACATAGGGGAAGCGGACGAGAGACAAGGCGCACAAACGAGGGATGACGTAGCGTCCGGCAGCATACTGCTCAGAAATGAAGCATACCGTAGTCCCAGAGCGCGGGGAAGAAGGCCCTCACACGCACCCAGTCGCTCGACATGAACTCCTCTCCGGAAGGCGGCACAAGCGTGACGGCGCGGAGCTGGGCGCGGTCTACGAGCTTGACGAGGCACCAGTCGACGCTATACAGCGGCCGCTCGAGCGCTCGGACGAGAGTCGAGCGGGACCACGCTGAGCGCAGGACAGCGCGCGAGACGGGGCTGCAGAGCGTGACGCGCTCGAGCTGGGAGGTCTCTGGGATGGACCTGATGACGGCGAGGATGCCGGTCCAGACGTGGACGACGCTGGTATCGGCGAGGGTGTCATAGACAACATCAACCGCGAGCGAGCGCAGGAGCGGGAGGCGGGAGATGTCGATGCAGTGCTCGTCGGAGCTGAAGGTTTCGGCTATGCAGAGAGCGAGTGGTTAGTCAGAGCATGACTAGGCGCGAGTGGGGCCGCAGACGTACGACAACTGGCATGGATGGTGACTTGCAGGTGCGTGATGTCTTGGAGCTCGATGATGCTGTTGTGCTTACAGGTGCCTTTGGTTATCTGGACTGGTGCATCGTCGACGCCTTCCTGAAGACTCTGGACACGGGGCCCAAAGATGATGCGAGCAGATTGGGTGGAGGGTTCTGGCATGGAGGGGGAGTGCCAAGGGATGTCTGCTATAAGGAGCCGGGAGGGGGGGGATCTCAAAGTATTACTCGCGTCGGCGGGTGGATGGAGAGCCTGAGGAAAGTGCTGCAGGAGGTAGCAAGAGCATATTTATCGCAACTTCAGCCCGACTTCAGCCCGAGCACGTCTGCTACATCTGTGCTCCGCGCAGCGAAGCATAAGCACGCAAAAGGGCTGAGCTTTCGTATTCACAGGCCCATCTCGTAGCAAACCATTCCATTCCACCGATGGACGGAACTAAGTCTCAAACGTGCTCTCCCTCGATTTCACACCCCTCCCTGCCCTTGGGCAGCCTCAGTGGCGAAGGTAGCACACTTGAAGCTTGATTGGCTGGGCGCAGTTGCAGCGCCAGGTGGAAATGAAGTGTAATGATAGACGCTAGCTTTCCGAGTCTTCTTTCCTGTCTATCGCGCCGCAACCTTTCCAACCCGTTGGTATTGGTACCCAGGCCTGGCGCCATTATCAATACCGGATGAGCAGCCACAATTCATCTCCGTGGGGCTGTGATGCATGATGCTGTGCTTGTCCGCATCAGGAAGCAGCGTCTGACTACGTAGCGAGGGCGCTTGCTACCCTGAGCCACCGCATCTGCCCTTGTCGGGTAGCGCACGCGTAGAGGCTCAGGAGTGCCTGGTAGTACCCAGCGGCAGCGCACACATTTTAGGGGTCACTACGGTATGCCAGAAATTATATATTGGTTATTCAAGCTACAATGTGCAAATTTGTATGCGGGACACACACCTATGTCATTACTGGACTAAAATTAGATTAATGCACCGAAGAGCAGCACTCCAAGGCAAACTCGTGTGGATGT